CTGAGGGAGTCTATAGCAGATGCTATATATGATAGTTAATCCAGCAAGTCTTTCCTCTGTTCCTACATAATGTCAAATTTACTTTTATTTAGATAAGTACTAATATTTTTTTTTCATAGTTATAGAAACATGACTGCTAGGATATCATGTACAGACAGAGGTATTTTGTGTTATTGTGGTCTACCGGCTCTGTTGCTCACATCGCGTCAGTCTCATAGCTTTGGGAGGCAGTTCTACGGTTGTGCCAAGGGTGTTTCAGCTCGTTGTGGGTTCTTCCGGTGGGCTGACAGTCCCTCATATGACACGGCCAGCAGTCATGGGAATCCGGTGTTTTCTGACTTTGACAGAGCAGATGAGGACAGACGTAGCCAGAGTCTGAAATTAAACATTTTAATATTTCTGATTCTAGTTGTACTCGTATTTGTACTTTTTTTAGTTATCTTGGTACTCATGAGGGTGTGAGTAATGTATGACATCTTCTACTTATGATCTGTGATGATTTCATGTTTCTGCATATGATCCAGTACTATCAGTAAGCTATTCTGAATAAGCTGCCCCAAACAGTTCTATTACAAAGGGGCATGAATGTCATTTAATCACCAATAAGCTATCTTGAATAAGCTGCCCCAAACAGCAAGACAGATTATTCTGATAATCTGCAGATTATCAGATTATCAGAATAATCTGCTTATCAGCAGATTATTAATAATCAACAGCTGCGCCAAACAGACCCTTAATGAGGCAGGCATCTTTGTTGAACCTCGTTAAATCTATATGTGTTCTTCTGGAATTGTGTTGATTCTGCTCAACAAGTGGTATCGAAGTCAGATTGGAGTGCAGGGAAGAAAATTTTCAATGTTTGGAGGTTGGCTTGGGTTGAAGCACATATTTGACACCGGAAGAGTTTGTGAATTGTGGCCTTCGTGTGTGATCAGGAGTTCACATAAAATGTGCTCGTGAGTTGGTTGTTAGGGCTTCGGAGGGCGAGAAGGTTTTCGGCGATTTCCAGCAATTTGGCAGAGAAGTTTGCGAGCAATTACCTTGACCAAGCGAAGGTTCGCGAGTAACTCTCTTCCGCTTCCGCTACAGGTGAGACAGATTCGGCATTCGCGACATTTCGGCGAGGCCCTCTGCGACCAATTGAAGTTTAAAGAATAGGTTCGCGCGGCGGGCGAGGGAGATTCGCAAGGCTATGAACAGTTTGTCGAAGCAGAAGATTGGGCAAGGTGGGGAGCAAGTCGTTCGCAAAACAGACCAAGATTGAGCGCGATTCGGAGAGGAGCCTGACAGGTAGCTCGCTGCAGCAGTTCGAGAACGAGTTTCGGCTTCACCTTTGATGAAGGATTTTTTTACAAAGGAATTTTGGCGAGGAATTCTGCAACTTGACAGTGGAATTCACAAGAGAAGTTAAGAGAATTCACAAAAAAATGTTAGTTGCATGAGTAATTTCAAATGATAATTTTTAGTGCAAAATTCAAGTTGGTGAAGTTCGATGAAACTGGTAACTTTGGATTGTGGCGAACAATGTTAGAAGATTTGTTGGCGCAATAAATAATTTTAAAGACTTTACGGGCAATAAAATCAGATGTCATTGAGGATGAAGATTTAGAGGAATTGCAACAATGAGGTGCAGCAACTATATGTTTATTCTGACAGATGAAGTTATGTATCACGTGATGAATCTAAAATCTCCAGAGGATGTATGGAAGAAATTGGAAACTTAATTTATGTTAAAATCTCTGACGAATAAATTGTATATGAAGCAAAAGCTATATAGGCTGAAGATGCAAGAAGATTATGATCTGGCGCAGCATGTGAATGACTTCAATCAAATAATCAAAAATTTTTCGCGGCTTGATGTGAGTATTGTGGATGAAGATTGAACAAAAATTTTGTTGTGTTCATTATCTTATTCCTATGAACACTCAGTTACTACTCTCACCTATTGAACGAAGATCAGGCGATTAAGTCATGCGGTTATAAATACGAAATGGTGCCGCTAGTTATTAATGTGCAAAAAAAGATACCATATTCAATTATAAATATATACATGTGTAATGATTTGTAAATTATTGGCAACTTTTTTTTCTCGAACGGACGCAAGACTTATAATTAACAAAGATGATAACAAATGGTCTGATGATGAAAATTGATTCTTTTATATTCTATTCCTATCGCTAACCGTTTTATATCTAAAAAATACATGAAAGAGGCATGAAAAAAGAAAAAAATGAAATTAACAAGTAGAAATTTATACTTTTCTAGATGTTCTCCCCTCTTACATACATTTGACCATTTTTTTAATCTCATTCAAATGTTTTAAACATAAAAATGATATTAATGCAACATAACGAGTTCTCTAAATAGAACACATGAGTAATCACACTATTAACATATAATAACCCACGAAAAAAATTTCAATATGTATGCTCGTCATTCATATCTCCATAGGAAATACTTAAATGTGCCAATATTTTATTTTTTAATAATAAAGTTTATATATGCTAATGCATGCATCAATGACAAATTTTAAATAAAAAAACTCAAAATTATGTATGCATTTAACTTATTTTTACTTTACTTTATACTTTTTACATATACATTTGTCTCCGTGAGGATCGTTGTTAACAAACCAAACACTATTGGCCGATATTGTCTCGTCGGGTCCCATCGACACAATGATTAACAATATAAACATCACAAATGTCTAGGGTAAAAAACCTGTTACAAGACTTGTCACCGATATTATCCAGTTGACACAACATTTAGAAACGTAAAACATGACAGTTGTCATTGGAAGGAAAGTTTCAGCCTACTCGCCCATAACTAATAATATCCTGTCGGCACAACCGTTAGTAGTATAACTATCAAAATTTTTTAGGCGGTGCAAAAACTGTATGCACAGAGGTTCACTACATCCGCTGCCCATATCATTATGAGGTGAACTCCACCTCTAAAATGCATATACAATCACACACACACACACACACACACACACACACACACACACACACACACACACACACACACACACACACACACACACACACACACACACACACACACACACACACACACACACACACACACACACACACACACACACATATATATATATATACATCATGTTATTTTTTACAAAAAAAATACTAGGGTTATTGATAAATTTCTATTTTGACATTTTGGTAAATTTAGGTATTGTTTAAAATACATTGCAAACCACATTGATTATTTTATATATTGACAACTCACTTATTATGTAAGTGCTTTAATGAACACAAATTTATTTAATTTTAGCTCATTCAATTATCTCATTGACATATTTATCTTGACTATAAGCACATGCAATTCAATAATTGTGTATACTTGAATTAATGTCAAACTTTTAAGCTATGACTCAAGCGTTTAATTTTCAGCTCATTTGGAGTTAGATTTAATCATGTTTTGCATCATTTAACTCATTCATCAAAATCTTTAATTTGACTAAAAAAAAAGATGAAAAATCATTGTTCAAATAAATTTGAATTTAAAAACTACAAATTTAAATATTTAATTAAGATTTGTGCTTTATTAAATATATATACTGGCTACATATAATTAAATATAAAAACAAAATTCAACAATAAAATATATTAGAATGCAATAATTATATGTACAACAAGTCTTATTTAGCTTTTAAATAAATTTAAAAAATTGGAATATAATAAACTATTTTAATTTATAAAAATTATAATAGGATATTATGAAAAAATAATATTTAGATGGCAGATATGTAAATTCATAGAAATTCGGTGGTATGTATGTAAATGCCGTGATAGAGAATCAGAACTCTGCGGTTGACTGAAAACTAGAGAAAGCGGGAGAAAGAAAAGCAGATATGTAAATTCATAGAAATTCGGTGGTATGTTTGTAAATGCCGTGATAGATGAGTCAGAACTCATCAGTTTCTGAAAGCTAGAGAAAGCGGGAGAAAGAAAGCCGGAAAGATGAGTTGTTGCTGCAGATGCCTCGAGATTCTTATCGCCATCCTTCTCCCACCTCTCGGGGTTTGCCTCCGCCATGGCTGTTGCAGTGTAAGAATCTCTTAGTTATTCCGCTTATTACTCGTCTTCTTCTCCTCCGATTGATCTCCCAATTAATCTCATTCTTCGCGCTACAGCTTGAGTTTTTCATCTGCCTCTTCCTCACCATCCTGGGCTACATCCCTGGCATCATTTACGCTGTCTACGTGATCATCAGCGTTGATCCAGATCGCTACAACCGTGACTACTGGCACCCCATCAACGAGTAGGCATTCGCATGTTCTCAAATAATCTACCGGATAGTTGGATTTAACTTGGGGAAGTTGCCTCCGTTTTCTTGATTTAATTCGTGTTTCTTTATCGTTACCATGTTTGGAAATTTGTTGTTTAGCCTATGAATCTGAAGCGCGGAAACTGTTGTGTTCTTTTATTTGATATTTCATCTTCCACATTTCAATTGAAGATTTGATTATGATGGTTGACAAAAGTCTGAGGTTGAAATTGCAGGAAATGAGATGAGATGCATCACTGGAGTTTGGACGGTGGTTAGCCACAAGAAATTCTATGGCTGTATCAGGGCATTTGGTAACTGAAACTTTAGAAAACCAGACTTGGCTAGTTCTGCTAGGGTTTGATTTTTTGCTTTGTCTACTTAAACCTGTAAGGTGACACTATATAGCGGTTAGTTTTGCCAAATAACTATTGTTCCACCACAGTAAAATTCATATATTGCAACTTTGCAAGCAAATTTACTACTTCAAACAAAATTCATGGAAGATCGATATATTGCAAGATAGGAGTTAAAGATAATCTTCCTTAGGGGGTGTTTGGCAGCATGGTTTTAATAGGATTCAGACATGGATTTAAGTTAAATCCAACCAATCAACAAAAAAATGATAATTAAATCAAACAATCCGTTAAATACATTTTTTTCACGGTCAGTCTCTATTTCTCATGTTTCATATTTTTTATGACGTAAATCCGGATTTACTAAATCCGATTACGGGGCTAATTTAAGTGATTTACTTCGTCGTTACTCGCAAGCTCCATTCCTGTCACACAGGTTTGATAAATTCAAATTTATTGGATTTGTTAAATTCTATTTAACATAAAACCAGACTGCAGCCAAACACCGCTTAGGAGACGAACTTTAAGAACTACGACTAATACATTCTTTAATATAAAAGAAATGTTAATTTTATCATTTATTTGCAGATGAGCATATATAAGTTATTAGTTTGAGCTGTTAAAGTAGTGGTTGCATTGTCAGACAACAGGTGCACACAAAGTTTTCTCTTAAATCTTCTATACAGACACATGTGCCTAGAAATTCTCCGAATGCAATGAACTAGATAACAACATTCATAAACACGTATTGTTCTTAGTATCAGGAAAGTGAAGCCTAATAATAATACATCAAAAGCTGGTAAATGTATTCCCTCCTAGTGAAAAATAAAAGGCAAATTCATGCATACCACACAATTTTTATGTATTTACATGCTAACACTCATTGTTTGATATTTACACTTATAACATGTTGGTGAAGCCTATGCAGCAAAAAATGTATTACACTTTAAACAAGATAGTGATGATGACATTTTTGATGTGATGTTAAAGATTTGAGAAGTATGCATGTAAATATGAATGTTTAGATGTTAGGT